GCTTGTAATTTAAGTGGAGTCGTTTAATTTAATTCATTAAGTTATTGGGGCCTCAGACAGTGATTTGTGTCACTACAGAGAAAAATTTAGATGCATTTATCTCCTTTATGTGTGATGAAATCTGGATTCATGGTTCAACTGGGTGAATATTAAATAAACTGCAAAAAAATGCGGCTAAATAGCCGATGTCAATATGATTACAATTTGACGGGTAAAAATAGAACATGACCGATTTTTAAAAATGTCGGTCAAGATGATGAAGAACAAAAAAAGTCTAGCGCGACCTCTGGTTCACACATCCACTTTTACATCCCCATTTCTTCCTGTTATTCTGATACTCGGTGTTCATCGTATCATGATGGTTCTAAACTAGTAAAATATGAAGTTTTCACAAAGCATCATTAGGCATCTGCTTCTGGACATTTTGCTAAGCAGCCATCAATGTTTCAGTTTAAAAATAATGAGGAGTTTTGATCTCTGAACATAGCTGAGAAGAAACCCAGATGTAAGATGGACATGATCCATAGTATCTTGTTGAAAAATAAAAATAAAATCTAGCTAGCTAGCTAGCTGTCCAGCTAGTTAGCTCACTAGATACTTAGCTATACAGCTAGCTGGATGGTTCTCTGTCTTGCTGTTGTTGAATTAGAGGAATAAAATGTTAAACTTCTTTGCTCGTTGTTTTCCTCTAGTGTCCCGAATTCAGGGTTCCGTAATGTACACAGTGGAAAACACAGATAACAACCAGTCGCCATTCAACTTCAGACATATCTAGAGTTTTATTCAGACAATTAAATGCATAGAAAAGCAGATCAGCCTCACACCCAAACCATCTTGAAGTCCAAACCATCAAACAGACATTAATTACCTGAGAAAAGTAGAAAAATGAACAAACATGTAAAAATAGGAGACAAACACAAGTAGGAGAAAAGCAAAGGCAGGAGGAAAACAAAGGTGCCTTTGGGAGCTGCGGCCGAAAAATAAACCAACTCGGCTTGCTGCTATAAAATGACATTTTATTTGAGAGGTGTGTTCCTTATTTTAATATATGCATTAAAGGTGTGTCTTCTCCTTCTAAACCTCTAAGCAGATTCAAATTACCTAGATGGGATGGTCTGAATGATTTTGTCACCTTCTTTGAGACCTATTCAAAACCAAAGATGAAGAGAGAGAGAGAGAGCGAAGGTCCAGAGTGAGTAAAAGTCAGAGAGAGCGAAGGTCATACTCAAACAGGATTTTCTCATGTTGGTTACATCTGGAATCTGTCCTGTTTCTCCCTTTCTAAACATTTGAACAAAGACCCTAGTTGTCAGAAAGAAATGTATTTTTCACCTAGACCTTGTTTTGTTTCTCTCCAGGTTTTAAGTGTCTTCCTTTCCCCTAGAAAATCACTAAAGAGTTTGACTTATGTGAACAGACAGAACTTGTCTTTTCCATCCTGTTTCATCTGAACTGCCTAGCATCTGTTTCCTTTTCTGAGCGATTCATCAAAAAACAGATTCCTGCATTAAACCTAAAGTAACATATAGGCAATTTGGAACCCAATGTCCTTATTTTAAAACGCTGATGATTTTATATAATATTGTACATGTGGTTAAGTTTAAAAACTAGCATATTTTAATTTTATTTTCCTAACACTGTCTATCTATATAGCTTTCTTTCTAGCGCTCTAGCTATCTATCTATCTAGTTCTCTATCTAGCTAACTAGCACTCTTCAATATCTAGCTCTCTATGTAGATAGCTTTCTAGCTTTCTAGCTAGCTCTCTATTTATCTAGCTCTGAGTATCTGCCTATATGGCGAGCTAGCTATCTAACTCTGTTTAGCTCTCTATTTATTTAGCTCTCTATGTCTCCAGCTAGCTATCTATCTAGCTCTATATATTTACCTCCCTATCTATGCAGCTAGCTATCTGAAATTAAAAGCAAGCTATTGATTTTGTGATTAGTATTTGCCATGTTGCAGTATAACAGGGAGAGAATGTTTGGAGATTTTTCTTACTGTGCTTTTAAACAGTAAAAAACAGGGAAATCACAGATGATATCAGGTTCTGGGCCACAACATCTGAGTCAGCAGGAGCCAGATCTGTTTTTAATTCAGCTCCTCAAACCAACTGCTTCCTTATAAAACTGTATGGAAAATACCTCACTATGCAACTGGACACCTTTGTTCCTTTTAAAAGAACAAACACGGCTCAGACCGCAGCAGAAGTACAACATGAAAGCTTCTGAAGTTTCGACCCTCCAACTTGTTCTGATGAACTCGGCTGCAGGTGTGGGAACTGTGCCATGTTTTCATTGGTTAAGCTCTTCATGCTCTCAGCTGTGTGTGTGTGTGTGTGTGTGTGTGTGGGTGGGTGGGTGGTGGCCTGCTGCATTGGTGCAGGAAGACAGCAGTGTAAAGTGCAACTGTGGTCTTATAACCTTCAGAGTCAACCTGTTTCAGTGTGGATGGTGTTTTTAGTTGATTTTACAGCCACAAACTGTATTTTGTTGGGATTTATTTATGGAAGACATAAAATCCATAATTGAGAAATGAAAACCAAACGATTCATGGATTCATAGTTTCCAATGCATATTTAGCAATTCCAGCTCAGGCCTTTTGGGGTATGTCTCTATCAGTCTTCTGCATGTAGAGTGTGACATTTTGCTTGTTCTTTGCAAAATAACTAAGTTCACCAAACAGCCTTGTTTGGTAGTCTGTTGACACCAGTTTGTTAGTTTAGCCACAGTGTCTTGTGGCATTTGGCTCTGGACTTTGACTAGGACACTCCAGCATCAGTATGCTTTGATCTAAAATATTTCACTCCAACTCTGACTGTTTATTGTTCCACTGGGAGGTGAATCTCTGCCTCTTATTATGAAGAGCAGGGTGATGCACAAGGTTGGGTATTGGTAAAGTTGCAGTTTTAGGGTGCCCACCACACTTTTCAGATTGGTGTTGGTTAAAAGAAAAAAAGAAAAAAAGTTAAAAACCATATCTAATGTTTCTTCACTTCCTAATTAAACAACACTTGTTGCTGATCAATCTTCTAAAATCCCAATAAGAAACTGAACTTTGTGTTTGTAAGGTGATGAAATGAAAACATGGAAGAAGGAATCCCCACCAAATCTATCCAGTTGAATTATCCAGTCAGTAAGAGGGTCAGACTTTTTTCCTGTGGAAAAGAGAGAGCATTTACTGGAGTTGTTCGGAATAACTGGAAGCTGAGGCAATAAATGATTTCTGTAGAAATATGACTTGAGCAGAATCACATGAGATTACCTCATGATGAGGTAATCTGTCTTTAATCAGTAGACTCCTTCTTCTAGTGGGAAATGTCCAGGCTTTACTTTGTTTAAAAGAAAAGTAGGTTGTAGATGCAAACAATCTTGTTACAATTAATTGTCTATTAATAGTTCATGAGATTAAAATTAGTTCCAATTGATTAACTAATTCCGTCCGCTTTGACCGCCTTCGGTGTTGTAGTTTGGCCGCCATCCAGCAGAGGGACCCACTAGTCATCCTGAAGCAGAGCCAGTTGATACGTATGATACAAAATGGCGCAGCCGTATTGGAACAGAAAAGAGAAATGGTCCAACCACGGCGGGGTTTGGGATGCAAAGTGCACCTTAAGCTGTTCTTTTTTAAAATATAAACACTCGACAAGCTCCTGAAGTGTCAATTTAAAAGGTTCCTGTTTATTTAGTCCGTATTTACCGTATTTTCCGCACTATAAGGCGCACCGGATTATAAGGTGCGCCTTATAATCCAGCGCACCTTATAATGGCCTTGAAATGGCCTATTTCAAGGCCATTGAATGGCCTTGAAATAGGCCATTCAATGGAATTCAATGAATGGCCTATTTCGAAACTTTTTTCATATATAAGGCGCACCGCATTATATGGCGCATAGAATAGACACTACAGTAGAGGCTGGAGTTACGTTATGCATCCACTAGATGGAGCTCCACTGAAAGGAATATCAACAAAACAGTCCGACTCCGGTTGGCGAGGAGAGCCTTCCGGACTGGGCCGGGGCGTGGCCGGACGATGGTCACCCTTCTCCGTTCGCGCACAGCATGTTGGTGGAGAACGCGGTGCTAAATGACCTGCAGACGACCTGATTATCAGGTCGGTAGGTAGATAGGTCAGTCAAACTTTATTAATATATTACAAACCAGCGTTCTGACAACTATCCCAGCATGCACCGCGCGCTTCTTCTTCTACGGGTGAAAATGAAGTCGGCGGCTGCTGACCATAGTTGCTAGATCTGTTGTGGCTCAATATTGGTCCATATATAAGGCGCACCGGATTATAAGGCTTTTGAGGAAATTTAAGGTATTTAGGTGCGCCTTATTATGCATTACCGAAAATACGGTAATACATCTGACACAAAATGAAAAACTTAACCCTTCATGTTATGGAAAGACGGTCGAGCCTCTTGGAACAAGAGAAAACTCTGGTTTTCGGGGAAATGGCTGCTCATCGTTTATAATTGTTTGTTGATCAATCAGATCAATCAACCTTACATTTACATATTAATCGATAACCCGCGTCCCCATCATCTCTTTAATTGTTAGGAATACTTCCTCAAGTCGAAGATGCCCAGCTCTCTGGCGGCGGGCGGCGGTCCTCTGCCGTGCTCCATCTCAGAATGTCCCAACTGCGTCACACCTGGCTCAGCGTTCGTCATGGCCAGACAAAAGATGCAGTGTGTAAGACGACTTAAAAATCTTTTTTTATTTATTTATTTTTGTGGTAGGAAAATTCAGGGTAAAAACAGCTTGTTTGTTTTTTTGTTTTGTTTTGTTTTTTTATTGTAATTTTTTTTTTCTTACTTTCATTCAGACCGAATGCGTGACTAACGAGGGCCCGCTGTGTGAGAGGTGCGTGTGGACCCGCATCGGCCCCACGGCCTTCCTCATGACCGACGACGTCCTCTCCATGGCGGAAATCCCACAGCAGCTCCACGTTCCCATCCACCATCCGTTTTTCCTGGAGCTATTTTTTTGATTTTGTCTCCCAGGAGCGGATATTAAAAACAAACTTCTATGCAATACGCTTGAAAAACCAGAATTGGATGACTGTGATGAGTGTGTGAGCAAGATTCATGTTTGTTTCACCAGAGACACAGAACTAATGGTAAGTTTTAACTTTCCCAAAAAAAGGAGATTTTACCTTCTTCCTACAATTCTGTTAAGTTAATACAGTGTTGTGTGTTTTGTAACATATACTTGAAAATTAAATTTTCGTTTTCTCTCAATTTCCAGGGTGGGTTGTGTTTCTTTTCACCTAAATAAGGACATTTTTTCACTACTTCATCTTTGACAGGAAAAACCTGCTTCCATTAAATCTCACGAATTTGGCAAAGTTGCACAAAAGTCTTCCAGCTCACAGATTGGCTCCATATGTGACTACGATTCTGCAGAAGAGACACGCAGGAGTATAGCGAGACTGTTGTTGGTTTCGCAAATGATAAAGTCTGCCAATTTTATTTTGGCTACTAACGTTGGTGAACAAATGGAAATATAATGTCAATAATGACCAACGGGTGTCAGGAAAGGTTTTGGATATTCTAGGACTCGATGAAAATCCTAAGTTTGAAATTCACAAGAACTCATAAGTCATTTAAAGACTTTCGGTTTCTGTGGCTGTGTTTGTTTTTTTGTAAAGGTTCTGGCAGCTTGACTCGCAATGTGGAAGAAAATTCCATGATGCAGGAAATGGCAAATATTTTTTGACTGGCCAGCAAGAAGAGAAGAGAAGAGCTGCAGAATTAGTCAGCCCCGTCAGTACACCCTCAGTGATTTATTTAAAATCTTTCTGTTCCTCTTGTCTTGCAGGTAGTGAAAATTCTAAACTTAAAACAGCTGTAGTCTATCCCATAAACATCGTTGGCATGTTCAGATATTTAAAGCCAATCAGTTAATATTAAACCAGCTGATGCTGATTGGCAAATAACAGCAGAAAGGTTTCTAGATACTGAAAGATTCCAGTTGCTCTCTTGCTTTCTATAGATGTTTGTTTGCAAATCTTTTTCTCGTTTAATCTTTATTAGTTGTCATACTTTTTTTTTTTTTTTTACCCATAACTTTATATGGACCAATTGTATGTCTTTGTATTATTTTTGCTTCTTGCTAACATCTGCAATGAATTTTATATCAGGTGCTCAATTAGAAATAGTTCAACAGATTCTGATACAGAATCTTTTTAGAAAGCTAAGAATTAGGGTGCTTCATCTAGTTAAAGCTAAAACAGTTGTGGCAGGCTACTGCTCTAGTTTACCAAGCTGTTTTAGCCAATAGAAGCTAGCAAGCTCCCTCGTTAGCTTCCTCCACCGTATTTATTTACTTTTCCAACAAGCTCACAGCGATGTATTTTTCTACTACAGCAAAGTGAACCGTCACTGACGTTGCCTTTTGCTGAACCTCTCGAAAAAATCCAAGCTAATCTTTGAAGCGTGAGCTTGGTACATGAAAGTTCAAATTCAATTTCAGCAACAAATTTCTCACAGAGGAAATAGACAAAAAAAATGCTCCTAGCTTTAGCTTAGTAAAGCTAAATTATATGATTTCATTTAGCATTTTTGAATTTTATGTATTCAAAATTCTGTTACGGCAGCTAACACTACATTTATTATGCATGATAGCCATGTTGAACTTCAGGGGAGGTTCTAGTTGATTTTTTTTTTTCCCAAACAAAGAAGTTGGTAGTTCTGATTTCTGAGTAAAAACATAATTACAATTTAGGCGTTGAAAGGGTCAGAGGAAGAGGAACTAGAATTTCACACCAACAGGAACCAAAATGGAACAATGCTTTAGCTAAACAAAGATTTTTATGACTAATGGAGGAAAAGCTTTTATAACTCTTACTGACAATATCCAATAGAAACATTACTGATTTTGTGTCGCATCTTCATTTCGATGGACTGAAAAAGATATTAAAACTTTCATTCAAGTGTCAACCTCTGATGTTATTGAATACATGGTTAATTCACAGAATGTGTTTGCTGCTGCTTTTTAAATTCCTTCAGATGCTGATTTAGAGCAGACGTTCAGCTCGTCTCTGTAAAGAGCCAGTCGTTCCACTACACCTGTCAACTCACTCGGTTGCATTTATGTGGAGCCTTTCGCTAACTGAAGTACACAAGTTGCAAATGACTGTAAGATATAGGCATCTCTTTTCCACTTTGAAGCTCTGTATCATGCCTCATCATCTGCATGAACTCTGCTGAAAGTGGTCCAACCACAGCAATGCCACACATCAGACGCTCTGAGGAAGCGACCTGATTTCCTTGCTGTGCCTTCTAATCAGGTCTGGTTGTAACACAAATGCATCGGTTTGTGTTTCAAACGTTTTTTTACAGTGTCTGTTTACACCACTGATTTATTTCAGATAAAAAATGATTTCTGGAGATGACTTCAGATTCTTCCCTTTTATTTTTTTATGCTTTTTTTTTAACTTAACCTGGCTGAGCTATTGAGGAAGTCAGGTGTCTTAAATTACTTAGTTTTTGGCTATTTACTGCCACTTACATTGAGTTAAATAACAAGGTATGATTACATTTTAGTATTGTGCTGATGGCAAAAAAAAAAGGCTGGTACCATGCTTTGCTGAAAAAGTATCCGTTACCCGTGAACCTTTTAACATTCAGTCATGTTAAAACGACAGACTGCAAATTGTTTTATTTGAGATTTTAGGTGACAAACTGGTGCATTGTTGTGAGTTAGAGAGAAGACGAATGGCGTTACATACAGGGCGATTCTAGAAGATTCTATTAGAAACCGCAAAAGACGGGGGCAGAAATTAACCTTCCAGAAAAACTATAACCATAAACATAGAAATGTTTGTGTTCATATGTAATGTTCATTTAAAAGTTTGTAGCTGTAATCTTTCAGTATGTACAAAAGTGAGCTAAAGGGTTAAGAACAGTAGTTGTTGACTGGTTTAAACATTGAACAGCAAGCATCTCTTTGACTAGCTAGCTGTTAGCTGTTAGCTGTCTGACATGAACATACAATAACGAACGACTCGGTTGAATAAATTTGAATATTTTT